TGTCTGGCTCCAGACAACACGAACCCCGGCCGGCTCCGGGCGTCCCTGCGGCACTGAAGTAGTTGTCGCTGTTTGCTGCCGTGAGTCAAAGGTGGTGCTTGCTTTTCTCCCCACAGGGATTATCTACGACGTGATTGTGGAGCCTCCCAGCGTGGGGTCGATGACAGACGAACACGGGCATCAGAGGCCGGTGGCCTTCTTGGCATACAGGTAAGGGGGTGGGAGCAGGGCTCTGCCCCCCCAGGCGAGGTGCTGCGAGTGAATAAACCCGTCTTACAGAGCTGTGCACCTACTTCTTTGGTTTTGGACCTCTCTGTGGAAGGCAGGATCTGTTTTAGATCTGTCCTTGGTTTGCAAGTGTTTTAAACAAACCAACCTTGAAATTGATGGAATAGAAAAACTCAGTCCTTCCAAAGCTTTTAAAGATGAAAAGTCTGGTAAGAAAGAAGTTTGGAGCTGGCAGTACTTATCTCTTCCAAACCCTTGCTGATAAAGTTGAGTTTGATAGTCAGTGTGAACACGTTTGGTCATATTTCGTAGCAGCATACATGATGGTGAAACTTTCAGTTCTGGCCTTTTAAACTCTAATCTAATTGAGATACTTGCGTTTGAAGGTGGAGAAAATTGTTACAAGTGTGTAACAGCACTGTCTTTTTTGAGTCTTTCACTTCTAGTACTGAAAAGAAGCTAGAAATTACTTAGTCACAAGTTGGTCTGAAAAGTGTTAAATCTACATTTGTAACTTGTTTGGTTTTTATTTAACGTGGAAACAAAAAATGTTTTTTGTTAAATACCAAAAAGTTCTTAAAATCCATGAGGTCTGTGATGTGCCTCAAGTACAGGTTTTGCCTTGGACTAAATGTGGTTTATGTCTCAGGCTGGCTCGAATTGCTGCAGTGTAGGTGAATCAGGCTACTGCAGGGAGTCGATAGCACTTTGGTACAATTCAGTGAAAGCAACATGAAGAAGATTAAATTGTTTTCAGAATGTGAATCTGAAAATCTTAATTTCTTATTAGCATCCATATTAGCTTCCTCCATGCCACTTCTGTGAAGTATTGCTAATTACAAGGATAGGAAAAAGGTTCAGTGTCTGTGGGAAGCAGGAGACTTGTGATCCATGTGCAATATTCTTTCTATGTCTTGGTTTCCCCTCTCTCCGTCCAAGCTTGGTAAGAAGGAAATCCAGCAGTGTGGACTGACAGAGATCCCTGGGACACTTTGAGGCTGGATCCCTGCAAGCTATGGGCAGGTTCAGCGAGCTGGTAGCAAAACCTGCTGCAGGCAAGAGCCGCTTTTGCTGTGTGCTGGAACCAGTAGATGTACTTCCTACGCAGGCATGGTGCTGTGAGTGGGATTTGTACTGAGATGAGGATTGAGGCACTGCTGCCTAAACATTGGTGTGGAAATAAGACTTGGAAAGCTCAGTGGCCCAGGGATCATGGTTCCATGCCTCGGATGCCATGTCATCTGTGAAACCAAATGCTACTTTGGACTATATATTTCTGAAAACTGATGAGCTTATGTGGTAGCCATTATTATACACTGTTATGTATAAAACCCCTAGTACAGTTGACTGGTCACCTTGCAAGATTATCAGTCCCAGAGATAAATTACCTATTAAAGCCTCAGTGTAATTGCATAATGTCAGTTTCCATACCTACTTTTTGTTAAAAAGTCAGCCATGAACTTTAATCTTCCTGTTATTTGTACAGGTAAAGGAGGTTGAGTAGATGGGGTTTGAAATGTAAATAGTTTCTTTGAAACTAATTTTTTCCGACTCTCTTCCCTTTCTCCTTTTTTTTTTTTCATCTCATTAGAGTAAATGGGCAATATATTATGGAAGGGCTCGCATCCAGCTTCCTCTTCACAATGGGTGGCCTAGGATTCATAATTCTGGATCGATCCAATGCACCAAATATCCCCAAGCTGAATAGGTTTCTTTTGCTCTTTATTGGATTTGTCAGTGTGCTTCTGAGCTTCTTCATGGCCAGAGTTTTCATGAGGATGAAATTGCCGTAAGTGATTTAATACTCTTTCAGCTTTTCTTCTCTTCACCTGTGCCCATGTTAAATTTTAAGAGTAACAGAAAATACAGTGAGATATGCTAAAGGTCTGCAGCTTGGCTATATGTTGCTTTTTTTCAATGCTTTTTTGTAACAAGCTACCTTGAATGAGGTGGGATGCTTTTGGGGCCAGGTACTGTAAGATTGTGCTGTGGTTAAAAAAAGCTGACAGTTGCTGATATGTCAGAAGATAGGATTAGTGAGTCTGATTTACAATGAATTTTAAGGTAGATGGAGTACGTACTGGTCAGGTAAAAGTAATTACAAGGTAGGGCTTTGAGGAAAAAGTGTCAAAGAACTTGGAGAGGCAAATGAGTTCTTTATAGTGACAGTGGGCATGAGAGATCATAACTAGAAGAACCGATGGCAGCAGTAACAAGTGTTCAGAAATGTCCAAAGCAGTCCTAAAGTAAAGATGATGTCTCAGGTTTTTTTGTTGCTGGGAAACTGAACATGACATTGAAGCATACAACATATGTTACATTTTAATACATCTATATTCACAGTTCAAAAAGTAGGAAAGATCTGGAGCTTTCAGGCTATGCAAAATCTAAATGATTTTCAAATAATTGAAAATTGAAAATCTAAAGGATTTTCTCCCCCCCCCTCCCC